AATTTGCTATTGTGCTGGGTGAAGCGCGAGGCAGTTTCCACCTTGTGAAGCAAACAAAAACTTCACGTATGGAAACAACTTTACCGAACGGGGATAGGCCCGAACTTCCTCAATTATTTGGACATCCAAAAGGGATGTTTTACCTCTTCTTCGCAGAACTCTGGGAACGATTTTCATTCTATGGAATGCGTGCATTACTGGTTTTGTACATGACCACCAAATTGCTATACTCCGATGAAATGTCACTTGGAGTGTATGCCGCTTATGGTTCGTTGGTTTACGCAACGCCCATTATCGGTGGAATGCTCGCGGATAGAATTCTTGGGTATCGAAAATCGATTATTATTGGAGGAATCCTCATGGCGATTGGACATGGATTTATGACGATTGAGAATTCATTTTTCTTTTACACTTCGTTGGCCATTATCATTGTTGGAAACGGTTTTTTCAAGCCAAACATCTCTTCATTGGTTGGTGCGATTTACACCGGCCAGGACGAGAAACGCGAATCTGGATTTACGATTTTCTATCTCGGAGTCAATCTTGGAGGAATGCTTGCCCCGCTCTTGTGCGCATGGCTAGGGATGAAGTATGGTTGGCATTACGGATTCGGATTGGCCGGATTGGGAATGGTACTGGGAATCATTTTCTTCCTTCGTGGAATGAAATCGGGATTGTTTGGTGAACATGGAAAACTTCCCGAAGAGCAGGAAAAGGTGCTTCCAGCGGTATATCGAAAAAAGGAATTCACGGTGATTTTGTTGGCGCTGATTTCGGTTCCGCTCTTTGCAGGAATTATCTATTTCCATCAATACGAGCACTGGTTGGTTTTAGTAGTGACGCTTGCCGTTGCCCTGGTGTTAATCAAGATTCTTTCAGGAGTATCGAAAATGGAGCGCGATCGATTGATGGTAGTCGTCTACTTCACGATTCTTGCAACGCTCTTTTGGGCGATTTTTGAGCAAGCAGGATCATCGTTGACTTTATTCGCAGATCGAAATGTCAATTTGGTCGCCTTAAACGCAGCGCAAACGAACAGTATTAACTCTGGTTTCATCTTCTTACTGGCAATTCCTTTCTCGATTCTATGGACTTACCTCTCGAAAAAGGGGAA